TGTCGGCAGGGGAGTGTCCAGACTAGCGCGCTGAGCCGACAAACAGCTGATCAGCAGTTTGTCGGCTCAGCGCAGCAACCATGTAAATTTAAATGAAGCTGCGATCATTTAAATTGTGGCTTCATTTGCCTTTGCCTATGTGTCTAATCTACATGCCTCTGACAACAGAGGCATGTAGTCTAGACACAGCCCAGGAGAGCCCCCAAAGAGTACAGACTCTGAGAAGATGTGAAGGCACCTGAGTCAGGTTCATTGTGGAACAATAGTCATCGATAGCCAGATGACCTCCAGACCTCTACGTATTTGCACCTGGGACAATGGGGTGGCTCATTCGATAGTATGGATTTAACTATCGCCCCCTAGGTTGGCCAAAGACTTAAGTGACACTTCCCAACATTCATAGACAGAAATGAACAGTCCATGATACCCACCGTATGCATGGTCTTACGCATTAATGACACTGCCATGGCTCCTTCCCCACTCTGGCATGATACATGCGGAAGTGGGGGCCAGCAGTTATCCCAAAACCTTATCTACCAGGCTTTGGTATAAAACTTCCCCCCAAAATCTTAAAAACTTAGATTTTGGGAATAAAACTTCCACTGTCACCACCCAAATATTAAAAAAGAAGTCAACGGAAAGATCATTAGGGAAATCTCACCCCTAAAGTAAAAATCAGGGCACACAATTAACCAATCCCAGGTTTATAAAAAGAAAAGAGAAAGAACTTTTATTCCTGTTGCAAGCATAATGACTAGATGGGAAGGTAACAAAATATACTGATGGAGAAACTCCATGGGCCTAGAACTTAGTTACAAAGAAAAGCCAAAACATCTTTTAAAAAGTGCACAGAAATCAGATCCCATACCCAAATCATAAAACAAGAAAAACGGATTTATCTAAACTTTACCCTATTTACAGAAAGTGAAGAATTGTTTCTTGGAGAGAGAGAGACATGTTTCTCTCTCTCTGTAGCTGCAGAGGAACTCAGAGAGTGGGGAGTGGTGGAGGGCTGGCTGCCAGGGGCTTGCTGGCTCCTGTTTTGGGGCCCCTGGTCAGGGGCTCCGGTGGCCACTGCTGGCTCTGGGCTGGCAGGCTTGGAGTTGGCACAGGCACTGTGGCCAGGGTCTACCCCTTGAATGGCTCCGGGACTGGGGGAGAGGAGAGTAAGTTTTTCTGGTTGTGCTCAGAGTGGCCACCAGGGCTTCCTGGGAAGGGCTGGAGGCCCCCTATTTCGAATTAAGTGTCTATGCAGCACTTAATTCGAAATAGCTATTTCAAATTTGGCGTTACTCCTTGTAGAATGAGGTTTACCAGATTCAAATTAAGCGCTCCGCTATTTCGAATTAAATTCGAAATAGCGGTTTGCATGTATAGATTCTATTGAATGTTATTTTGAATTAACTTTGCAGTGTAGACATACACTTAGGGACCTTTGAAATTATCCCCACAGCTCCTGCCCTCATCCAGAATTTCAAGGGCTTCTCAAAGGGGCGGAGAGGACTTTGATGTCCAATGCCCTGGCACGTCTACCAACTCCTTGCAACCCCACCGGCAACTTAAGCCCACATTGTTCTCTTGGCTGCATTGGGAGTTGGTGTTATGAGAGGCAGTGACCAGGACTCAAGAGACTCGGGGTCTAGCCACTCTTTTCTCTGGTCGCATGGAGGTTAGGTCCATCAATAGGTATTAGCCAGGATGGGCAGGAATGGTGTACCTAGCCTCTGTTTGTCATGCTGGAAATGGATATCGGTGAGGGTCACATGATGATTCCCTGTTGTGTTCACTCCCTTTGGAGCATCTGGTGTTGGCCACTGTGCACAGACAGGACACAGGGCTGCATGGACCTTCGGTCGGACCCTGTCTGGCTGTTCTTGTGTCTCCTGGATGTTTCATCACCCCATAACTGTACCAGGTTTCTATCCACCTAGATACTTACTTCCCACTGGCTTTCCTGATGCCCAATGCCCCCCTGTGCCATTGAAAACCCCTCTCCCTGGGAGTGTGACCATGACAGTGTTGGAAAATATAGATTTGCATAAAATTTCCCCTCCACATGAGAAAACATCCAATTTGCCTTGGTCCTTTCCTAATGATTTGTATGGTCTGTTCACCGTTAGTTTTAAAAAACCAAACTCATCTTGCTTCAAGTTGCAATGTAATAGTACATGACACTGAAGAGCTGTGATTCACATCTGTGTCTTAATCACAAGATGCGCAACAATTGATGAGGGGAAAAAAAAACCATTGAAACGCATTTCTGTTGTGCCTGCTATTCTGCAGCAGAAGATGACAATTAGACCTCGGTGAACCACATTTTCCACTTCTCTAGCACTTCTGAAACACACTTGCCTTCTCACCAGGCTAGGAAGTCACACTCACTTGTTTTTCCTAGCCCACAGACTAGCCATTGACTTTGATGATGAGAATGAATAGTCATTGGGTGAGCAAGCAAGTCCAACATGACTCTGGAGCTTGGACGGTAAAATGCACACTTTGGCTGGGGTAGATCCAACTTCAAATCTCCGTACCATTGACTCTTTAATTATATATTGAACATGGAACCACTTCAACAGAAGAGAGAGAGAGAGAGAGAGAGAGAGAGCGAGCTTGGGTCAACCCTATTCTGTAGGCCAAGGCACTTCTTTCAAACGTAAGAGACTGGTGACTTTGGAAGGAAGGAAGGGAGGAAGTGACAAAGGAGGGAAAGAAGTGAGAGAGGGACGAAGGAAAGGAGGAAGGGAGGGACGGACGAAGGGAGGGATGAAGGAAGGAAGGAAGGAATATCAGTACAGGGGAACCCTGTACCCAATGACTCATATCAACTACACCATATCAGTTCAACTTTATTTTACTCCACGCTAAAATTTGTCTTTCTGATTCCATGCCTATGTCCGACAGCAGTCAGTTTATGAATAACTTTTCTCAGAGACTCATTCACCTCCTTGTTTCTCAGGCAGTAGATGACTGGGTTGATCATGGGAGTCAGGACTGTGTAGAAGACCGAAAATATTTTACGTAGGATCTGGGACATGGTGGCTGTTGGAACCACATAGATAGCGATCACGATCCCATAGTAAATTGTAACGATGATGAGGTGGGAGGAACAGGTGGAAAAGGCCTTTTGCCTCCCGGTGGCAGATGGGATCCTCAGGATGGTGGTGATGATACAAACGTAGGACACCAGGGTCAGCAGACAGGGCACAAGTGACCCTGGGGCAGCGAGAATAAACATTAAGAGTTGCAGAATCTGGGTGTCATCACAGGACAGTCTGAGCATGGGTGCGAAATCGCAAAAGAAATGGTCTATTTCATTGGCGTCACAGAACGTTAGTTGGAACAAGAACACTATTCCTATGGTACAGAGTGGCACGCTGCTTATCCAGGACCCCGCCACGAGCTGGCCACAAACCCGGCCGTTCATCAGAGCAGCGTAGCGGAGGGGATGGCAGATCGCTAGGTACCGATCGTACGACATGGCTGCGAGCAGCAGGTTTTCCGTAGTTGCTGTGACACCAAAGAAATACACTTGCACAAGGCAGCCCTTACTAGAAATGGTTCTGTCCCCTGTCAGGAGACTGGTCAGAAGCCGGGGCAGGATGGTGGAGCTGTAGCAGGTCTCCAAGCAGGCCAAGCTAGCCACAAAGTAGTACATGGGGGTGTGAAGGTGCCGATCAGCCGCCACCAGCACAACGATGAGGAGGTTCCCGGCCAGAGTCACAAAGTAGATCAGTAGAAACAGCAGGAAGAGGAGGGGCTGCAGTTCTGGTTCATCTCCAAACCCTAAGAGGATGAATTCCATGATGAGTGTTTGGTTTCTTCCTTCTTCCTTCTCCATTACACGTATCTAGAAAACGAAATCCATGGAATAGCAATGAAATTAACATAGGCAGCTGGTACCCCTGCATCCCTTCAGTGGAAAAATGAAGTTGTCAATAATCAGAGGGAGACTTATATGATAGATGTTGGGGAACCAAAAGCATGGGGACCCATTTAAATGACAGAAATGTCACATCTACCTCCCATCAGTGCTCTTGCTATTTGCATAATGACTTTTCACTTGGGATTTTGATCTAAGTTTATCCCATCGAGCAGTTGTGTGGCACCTTAGGGAACGTCTACACTGCAAGCTTATTTTGGAAAAAGCTATTCCAAATAATATCTTCTGAAATAGCTTATTTCAAAATAGAGTGTCCACACTACAGGGAAGCCTCCAACTTAGTCCAAGGCAGGCTTCCCTAATGTGGGCGCATCACCTCGATTTAGAGCCCCAGGAGGCACTGGGGAGGAACAACTTAGAATGGCTCTGGAGAGGAGCTATTTCGACATAGAAGCAGTGAAGCATCAACAGAGACCCTCTTCCAGAAGAGCTTTTTCAGAAGAGGTATTATTCCTTGTGCAATGAGGTTTACCAATGTCGGAAAAAGCCCTCTGTTATTTTGATTTTCTTTCAAAATAACACAATTGCTGCATGGATGCTAGTATTGTTTCTTCCAGAATAACAGCCGTTATTCCAGAATAACAGTGCAGTGTACGTTCACTCTTAGGGTGTGTCTAGACTACAGGGTTCTGTTGACAAAAGTGGACTTTTGTCAACAAACTATAACTGCATTTACACTGCCACTGAGTTCTGTCGACATAACTCAGCAGTTCTGTCGATGGTTGTAAACCTCATTCTAAAAGGAATAACGCCTTTTGTTGACAGAGTTCTGTCAACAGAAGGCATTATTGCATCTACCGTTGCTTCGACACTGTCATGTTGACAAAGCGGCTTGCTTTGTCAACAGAACTGGCTGTAGTCTAGATGCTCTTTGTCAGTATCTGTCGACAAAACTTCTTTCGACAAAAGCCTGTTGTCTAGACGTACCCTTAGAGACAAACACACATACAGCCTCTTCCCGACTTACGAACCAGATACGGACCAAGCAATTTGTCGTAACTCGGTTTGTTTGTAAGTCGGACCCCATATAATTACAGGCGTCCGCACTGTTTGTAAGCGTGGATTGCATTTGTAACTCGGGGTCCGCCATTTACGACAGCTTCGGTGGTAACTCCGAATGGTCGTAAGTCAACCATTCCAACTTGCGAATCGGCTGTCTTAGGTCATGAGCTTCCATGGCTAAAACCCACTCCAAACCTCATGATCTAATATATTTGTTAGTCTCTTGGGTACGTCTACACAGCAGGGATAATGCTGAATTAGGCTCCACAACTTCAACTATGTCAATTGCAAAGCAGAAGTCAAAGAAACTTAATTTCACTTTTGGCATTGTCTTCACAGCAGGGAGTTGAAAAAAGAACATTCTTCCTCCGACTTCCCTTACTCCTTGTGAAATGGGGGTTACCAGGAGTTGGAGTAAGAAGTCCTCCAGCTCAACATTATTTTGAAATAAAGGCTTGCAGTGTAGTCGTGCACTCTGTTATTTTGGAATAACACTGCCGTGTAGATGTACCCAAGGTGCCATGGGACTGCTGGTTGTTTTGAAAGTTACAAACAAACATGGCTTCTGCTGGGACACTTTTTATCATGTCAGTTTTCTATCACTAAATCTGGAGAACACGACAAAAAATTAAAAGATCGGAAAGAAAAGACATTTAGATTTAAACCTTGGGCTCCTCAGTCCTGCAGCTGGGAGATGTCATTCACAGCATGGGGAGATAGACGTACACTAACTTGGATCAAGTTTGCAGGAAAATATTAGCAGACACTTGAAATAGCCACCTACATCGGTCCTAGGATCTTTGATGGAATTTTCCTTGGGAAACTAGTCTGTACAGCTATGGCTACACATCTATTTTGAGCACTCTATCTTGAAGATTGGGAGTGTTGCATACCGACGCAAGGAATCACACTGCCCCACTACAAGATAGACATACTCCATCGGAAAAGTACCGTAAAACCAAAGAGGCTGTGGTTTGTACCCTGATCTATTTAGCAGTCTTCAATTAGAGCAAATTTTAATAAAATATGGCAGCTTTTATTAGATGAAGCTGAGAAACAAGAGAGACACAACTCCCCCCAAATAGGCCTGATGGGACATTTCATTATTGTAAGTATATGACTGTCTTTGGCATCATGTGGCAGATTTGCACAAGCACAACTGAGATGAGATTCCAACCCCAGAGACAGAATTTTAAGGGAAATGAAAATGAATTCAAAGAGAAAGGAGCGAATCATTTTAATCCACAATGGGAATTTGCCTCAAGACAAGTGGGAAAAAAATGGAGAAAAAAGGAAGACATCGATAGATAGAAAGAGATCAAAAGACAGAGCGAGAGGGAGAAAGAGAGATTTTGTATTTTCCAAATATTATGAGCAATCAAATACCGATATTTATAAAGAGAAGTACAAGTCCATCTGTTAATGAAAATGTGTTCGAGCCAATAAATCTGAAATCTCTTCCTTGCTTTTTTCCTACACACACCACTAGGTAAATTCATGGAGGTTAGGTCCATCAATACTTATTAGCCAGGATGGGTAGGAATGGTGTCCCTAACCTCTGTGGGTGCATCTAGACTACATGGCTCAGTCAATGGAGCCATGTAAAGGAGTTTACTCGACATAGTCAATGTCCCCGCTTCATTAAAATAAAAATGGCTGCTGCACTGTGCCGACAATTTAAATTTTTTTAAGGAGTAAGGGTTATTTTGAAAGAAGACTTTTTATTTAAATAACCCTGTCTAGATGGCGGGGGTTTTTTTCGAAACAGGGTATTGTGAAAAAGCACCATTATGCAAATGAAGCGTGGGACATTCAAATCCGCGCTTCATTTGCAATTTTACTCGGCTGCATTTCCGTTCCTCTCTCGAAAGAGGAACGCAGTGTAAACAGACGCTATGTGGTTTGAAGCATTCTCCAGTAATTTCTTCTCTTCTGTTCCCCATCCCTTATAGTCACTTCAAATCTACTTGGTATACTAAATAAACTCAAAAGAGGAACGCAAAGTAGACAAACCCAAACCGAGCTCACACGCTGGTTAGACTGGCAATGCAAAAGCAGTTACTCACCTGCCAGGTGATACCAGGAAATCAAGAGGGTCTCAAGGCAGAGATTACACTTGCTTGGGTTTCCATAAACTGGGGAAAAATCACCTTAGCCGGGTCCAGCACTTTCCCCAGCGCCCTTTCTGTTCCTCACGTAAATCCTCTCATGTGGGGAATGAAGAAGACAGATGAGATCCCTCCCTGCCTTATATAGCTGTAGCCCAGGGAGGGAACCCTTTGTCTTAAACTGTGGTACCCAGACCAATGTGCGTAAAAACACAGACATCCCCAGATGGAGCCTAGAGACACAGGGCATGGTCACCTGCCCATGGAGAGTCACAACGGACGAACTCTCTGAGGTGTTCACCAGGTGGGAGAGAAGTTTTACTTAAGGACTCTTGTTTTCCCTAAAGCCTCATTACCCGGAATAGGCCCTTCCCAAACAGAGACCTGGACTGCAAGCATTTGGCCTTTTGGGAGTTCCTCAGGTGTAACTACATCTGACCTGCAGATGCAAAGTCAACATTCACCCTTCTAGAGAGGAAGGTGATGCCTGCCTACATGTAGGTTGATCTTGTGCTGCAAATCAGAGCTTTTCACAGGAAACCCTCAAAGATGCACCATACACAAAAGGTATCAACATTCAGCTATCGTAGATTCATAGGGTATGTCTAGACTACATGGCTCTGTCGCCAGAGCCATATAGATTAGTTTACTAGACATACCCAAATGAAGCGGCAATTTAAATAATTGCCGCTTCATTTAAATTAAAATGGCTGTCGCGCTGAGCAGATCAGCTGTTTGTCGGCTCAGCGCGCTAGTCTGGATGCTCCACGGTCGATATCAAAGGCATTTGTCGCCCGCCCCATTATGCCTCATTATGAGGGTTACCGGGGCAGTCGAAAAATGCCTTTGATGTTGACTGCAGAGCGTCCAGACAAGCGTGCTGAGCCAACAAACAGCTGATCGGCTCAGCACGGCAGCCATTTTAATTTAAATGAAGCGGTGATTATTTAAATTGCTGCTTCATTTGGGTATGTCTAGAAACAATTCTACATGGCTCTGGCGACAGAGCCATATAGTATAGACATACCCTATAGGCTACGTCTAGACTGGCAAGATTTAGCGCAAATACTCTAAATGCAAGGAGTTTTTGTGTTAGAGTATTTGAGTAAGAGAGCATCTATACTGGCATGTGCCTTTGCACAAAAGATTTGCTTTTGTGCAAAAGCATCCATGCCAGTGTAGACGCTCTGTTGCGCAAGAAAGCTCCGACGGCCATTTTAGCCATCGGGCTTTCTTGCTCAAGAAATTGATGTTACCTGCCTACACTGGCCTCTTGCGCCAGAACAATTGCACAAGAGGACTTATCCCTGAGCGGGAGAATCAGAGTATTTTCACAAGAAACACTCATTTCATACATTAGAACGTCAGTGTTCATGTGCAAATACTCTCGGCCAGTGTAGACAGGTAGCAAGATTTTGCTCAAAAGCGGCTGCTTTTGAGCTAAATCTTGCCAATGTAGACGTAGCCATAGAGTCATAGAACAGTAGAACTGGAAGAGACCTCAAGAGGTCATCAAAACCAGTCCCCTGCCCTCACAGCAGGATCAAGCATGGTTTATATCATCCCTGACGGGTGTCTGTCCAACCTGCTCTTAAATATCTCCTGTGATGGAGATTCCACAACTTCCCTCAGCAATTTATTCCAGTGTTTCACCACCCTGATATTTTTGATGTTTTTCCTAATGTCCAACCTGAACCTCCCTTGCTACAACTTAAGCTCATTTTTTCTTGTCCTATCCTCAGAGGACAAAGAGAACAGTTTTCCACCTCCTCCCTGTGACACCCTTTT